GATACTTACCATAGACATGTGGTGCACAGTAATAATATAAAGTACATAAATACAGCTATACATATACTTGTCATATTCTACGCACAGAATACAGAACACTGGTTAAAAATAACTAACCGAGTGTTTGAAGCGTACAACAGTTTTATGATACTGCCCCATAGATCCTAGACACGGAGGGGATATGACTTTATTTGAGTCTGAGTGTTTCGTCACCCTTAGTGGTGTTGCTTTAAAATAATACGTGTTGCATATAAGTATAATAACAGTATGGCAATACAGTAGGCTATATGTGACAATGTAACTAAGTGTTGCACGGCCAGATACGGCTCGAGAAGCTGACTAAGATAAGGAAATATTGTGATATTATATGATCGATGATCTGATTGATGATGTGATATCAGTGTGATATGAATGATAAGTGCGACACTTCGGCGTCTTCTCTGCATGCGGCAGTTTAAACTGTATTTCCTTTGTCCTGTAATATGACTTTAAACTCCGCACACTGAGCTCTGATCTGTCAGCAGGCGGTGCTTTCACTGAGTTGATCTCTTTTCTATAGACGCCAGGGGCGGGCAGCGTCAGGTAAAAAAAAGTTATTTAGCCTTCCCAAACCTGAGCCTCACGCGCCACCTATGACCAGGAGAACAAGGTATGTAAATGTCAGTAAACTTCCAAGTTATGCGAACATGTAAGCAAAGCATAAATTACAGCTACGTTGACGTTACTTTGAAACGCGGGGGTAAGCTAAACCGTTAGCAAGTAGCTATAGCTAGCCAGATATATTAAATAAACACTTTGTCATACAATCTAAATGTTATGGTCTTTAGCGTTACCTGGTGATTTCAAAGAAAGCTCTCTGGAAAATGTTGACTTACTGTTCGACATGAAGCTAGAAGCTACCTTAAAGTTACGACGCTGAAGTTGGCTTCCGATTCAGAGCGTCCGATTCGGCAGTTAAGGGGAAAGTTAAGGGACATTTAATTTACAGCGCTTAGCGAACAATCCTCCGTGTTTGAGTCTCTTAAATCGCTGCATAGCCGATTTATTTGGACTGGATTATCCCAGAGACTCAAAAGATTCTTTATAACACAGTTTTAGATTTGTGAAACCTTAATTCTATTTTGTGAAAATCAAAAAAAGGTAGATTTCAGTGCTTTTTTCGCATCTTGACCACATCGGACCACGTCCTGATCTGAAACCACTATACCTAGACTCATCAAATCTGGACAGGATTATCATACATAATTTGTCAACACATATTTGTTTGAGACCCACTGAGATAGACTAAAATTAACTATCTAAACACTCAGAGAGCCCTTTACCTCACTGAGCCTCTCAGTCTGACAGGAGAGCTCTCCTCCACCTTGGTTGTAACATTATATCCGTTAGCGCAGCTAGCACCAGATTCTAATAACAACAGCGCCGGTACCATAGACTGTATTTATAAGGCCGGTACCGGTTCGCCGTTAGCGGCCTCTCTCTCTCGCTCCCTCGCTCTCTCGCTCCCATGCTCGCACTTTGGCTGTGAGCTGCGGGTGCCTGATAAACCAACATCCCCCACTTTCATCACTTACTATAAAATCGGCCCTGCCACTACAGTTGTCTCAAGATTTAGCAAAAATACACCTTTTATTGAACATACAGTAACACAAATACTACAAAATCCACATAACAAACAATCAAAAACGAAAAAGGGTCGCCACTTATTATTATTTTAATAAAATAAAAAAATTAAATACATCTTTTTTTTTCTTTCGGGTACCTGGCTGGCGCCCCCTAGCAGCGGCGGAGCTATTTGTATATAGGGGAAACACTGGTCCAGGTATAGTGGTTTTATGTGGTCAAGATGTAAAAAAAGCAGCAAAGTCTTCCTTTTTTGTATTTTCACAAAATAAAATTAAGGTTTCACAAATCTAAAACTGTGTTATAAAGAATGTTGAGACTCTCTGAGATAATCCAGTCCATATTTGATGAGTCTAGTGGTTTTAGATCAGGACCTGGTCTTATGTGGTCAAGATGTAAAAAAAGCAGCAAAATCTAACTTTTTTTTATTTTCACAAATAGAATTAAGGTTTCACAAATCTCAAACTGTGTTATAAAGAATCTTTAGAGTCTCTGGGATAATCCAGTCCATATTTGATGAGTCTCGGTATAGTGGTTTTAGATCAGGACCTGTGGTCAAGATGTAAAAAAAGCAGCAAAATCTTCCTTTTTTGTATTTTCACAAATAGAATTAAGATTTCACAAATCTAAAACTGTGTTATAAAGAATGTTAAGCCTCTCTGGGATAATCCAGTCCAGATTTGATGAGTCTAGGTATAGTGGTTTTAGACCAGGACCTGGTTTTATGTGGTCAAGATGTAAAAAAAGCAGCAAAACTTTCCTTTTTTGTATTTTCACAAATAGAATTACAGTTTTACAAATCTCAAACTGTTTTATAAAGAATGTTGAGACCCTCTGGGATAATCCAGTCNGCCCTGATCCACGCTGTCCATTTTTCATTTCATTTCAAACTTTTATTTAAGCAGGTCTCCCTTGAAAAAGAGATCTATGATCTCAATGGGACCAATCTGGTTAAATAAAAGTTTGAAATGAAATGAAAAATGGACAGCGTGGATCAGGGCTCTAAGATTCATAACAAACTGTGGATCTCTTTCTCACCATTGGATTTTATATTCTGCCATTATTGGTAGAAATGATCTATAACATAATAATGTGATTTAAAAATGATCTTCTTATCTTCTCCTTTTTCATATTGGAATTACGGTAAACACAATCTCCATACGCAGGACTTTTTCGTTTTAAAAGTCAGAAAGATTTTTAATTTCCCCCAACTACTGCATAGAATACTCTAGACCAGGGGTTCCCAACCTTTATTGTGCCAAGGACCGGCAGATACATTAAAAAAAACGTGTGGACCGGTTGTCAGTTTTAACTGATTTGAATATTTACTCACCAGCAGGTGGCAACAGAGGCTAACAGCCTGAAGAAATACCAATATGCATCCAAAACATATTAACAACGTTTAAAACCAGGATACAATTAAAACAAAAAATTAGGACCGCTTTACAAATATTAATATAATATATAATATAATATAGCCTAATATAAGTGGCAACAGTGGCTAATTGTATGTAACAGCCTGAACAAATAATAGAACAATATGCATCCAAAACATATTAACATAGTTTAAAAAACTAATTAGGACCACTGTACACATATTGATATAACTGAAATGTCAGTGAGACCCCTGGGCTTGTTTGCCAGCAATAATAACGTCATACCGTTGCGTTCGTTCCGGTGCACTCCGACAGCATTTAGCACTACATCGAGATTAAGATTAAACTAACTTCTTTGGGAACACCCACATACCTATGGAGTTGGCCAGATGTGTGTAAATTACTGTTCATGGTAATTTGAAAACAAATGCCGTTGTTGGACACACACAAACACACAGAACATACACACACACAGCGGAGCTGATCAGAGCACATACACACACACATCATGCGCCTTTGTGACCGGACATTTCCTTCATACAACGAGTAATAGGGGGAATAATCGGGCCGTTCGATGTGTGTGTGTGTGTGTAGAGGTGTGTGTGGTTGAAACGTTGCTACTTTTCAACCACACACACCTCTACACACGCCTGTACACACCTCTACACACACGCCTGCAGTGGGGAACACAGCAAAGGCGGTGTGTACGCGCTGGTGCTGCACTTCTCAGAGGCTGCCTCCTGATGCTGCAGCCATTTCATGAAGTGAAGGAGGCTTTACAATTAAAAAAATAGCTCTACACCCCTGGTCACAATGTCCTTAAAATTAAGTCCGAGTTCGAAATATATCTCAAATAATGTATGCACTGCCATTCCCCCAAAAACATAACGGTCTGCGATTAAACGGTTGTCTCCTGTGTGCTCCACTTCCTATTGGCGCACCACCTGTAACTTTATCTGCGCACGAGAGGCTGAGACCTTATGCTAACCAATTTTGATTTATTTTGTATGTTTTGGATTAAATAATATGACTGGTATAAAATCAAATAAAAATCAAAAAATTAATTGAATTTTTTTTATAAAATTATATTTTTATATATTTATAATTCTGCAAATATTACGATAAACTCACAGCTATTTCGCGGCCCGGCAGTAACACCTCCCGGCCCGGTACCGGTCCGCGGACCGGGGGTTGGGGACCCCTGCTCTAGACTACAGACTGTTCTTACACTAAGCAAATATTGTGACTGGATTATCGAACTTAATTATTTTTAGTTATTAACTAAATTTAATTTTTGTTAACTTGAAAGCCCTAGTTTAATATAATCATGTAATGTTATTCAAATATGTGCTTTTGTGTTAATTGTTTGAGAAAAGGTGGTGGTGAATATAGGCCTAATAAAACAATAAATAAAAGGTAATCAAATTACAATTTGGGAACCTGACACAGCTTAGGCATGCAGAATGTGCTAAGAGTCACAGAAAAATGTTTTGTTGTTCGTGAGTGTAGGAGCTCAAACATTTTTATTAATATGATAATTATTGATATTATTGATGGAGCAAAGTGTTTGGGGATGCACAATCACATTTCTGTCACATGGAGGCGCCATAATATTTGTTGTTCATGATGACAAGTGCTGGTGGTCTATAACAGGTTAATGTGTCTTAGAATGTACTTCAGTGTGGAATGGGGTATGCAGAGAGGAAGTGTAGCCTGTGCCCTGGCCTGTAGAAGAATGTGTGACTGAAAGATGTGTAGCGTGTGTATGTGTGCACAAGTGTGCGCTTGTGTGTCTGTAAACTCCGGTAATAGCAGGAAACAGACCACCCTCCAAGGCAGTGCTGACGGAAAGCTTTTGTGCCTGATCACCTGTCTGTGCAAACATCCTTCTCAGTGTGGCAACTTCTTGTCTCATTAACACTAAATTATCATATCTGTCAAATGCACACCCAGCACCACCGTCATAGAAACACATAAAATCATAGTCTTGTGCTTTAATGCATTTTTTTTCAGTAGTTAACTCTTCTCTCCATTCATTCCTACATTTCCAGTTCTTACCCTCTTCTCCACGGGCATCTTGTTGTAGTAGCGGATGGAGTCCTTTCCCAAGAAGTCAAACTCTACCACGTACTCCTGGTCGTCCATCTTGGGGTACAGTTTAATGTGCTCGACCCGCAACGAGCAGCAGCCTACTGTGTCCGCTGTCTCACCTTCCTCCTTTTCGTTACCCGCCCTCAATGCAAGCTACAGGGGAAACATTATCACACATTATCTCAGGATTAGTTTTTTCACTTACAGTTTATTGGTATTTAGAGACCTGGGATAAAGGTAAACCGTGTGGTTAATGCAAAATGATAAAATAGGATCCTTACTTAAAGGTGACCTATCATGCAACATGCACTTTTGTACGTCTTTTATACATGAATATGTGTCCCCGGTGTTCCAGGGAACTCACCAAGTGTCAGAAAACACAACCCTCACTATTTTCCTCCATACCCAAATCTCTTAAAAAGGGGCTGCAATGGATCTGATACAGACTGATCCAGATCTCTGATGTCACAGAAGTGGCGCTACGGCTATTGGGCCAACTCCACCAATCAGGAGGAGACATTGTCGTTAGAAAGCGCTGGAGAACCTGTAGTACATATGCCAGGCCTGTAGATGCTGCTGTTCTCACAGAATCAGCCCATGCAAAGACAGTGTTAAATTGAGTGAAATGAGGAATGGCTAAAATGCACGATTTGTTTGGTATTTTGAAAAATAAAAAGTATAAATATGCCTTATATAGGTATGGTCCTACTCAGGATTAGTTTTTTCACTTACAGTTTATTGGTATTTAGAGACCTGGGATAAAGGTAAACCGTGTGGTTAATTCAAAATGATAAAATAGGATCCTACACTATATTATTCAAATATAGCATGATAGGTCCTCTTTAAAGTAAAACCGTACATTTTAGCATTTGATCGCCAGTTTGCAAAGTATCATTGTTGGGAACATTACACCTATGTTGGATTTCATTTCACCGATTTTTTTAATATGCATAACTAGTTCAAAATAGTGTTTGTTTAAAGGTCCCCTATTATACTATTTTTCTAAAACTATATTATAGGTCTCAGATATATACAAAACATGTCTCTGAAGTGTTTGGCTCGAAATACCAAACAGATCATTGTAGCATCCCATAATCCCCTCTTTTTCAGCCCTGTTTCAATATGGCTGATTCTGTGTCTGTTACTTTAGGAGGAGGTTATAGGTGATAAGGCTGGTGGGTGTTACCCTAGTTTGTTATTGGCTAATGGTTACACAACCCAACAAAACATTAGGACATCACAAAGTGGCTCAAATCTGGTCAGATTTTATATAAATGGATCAGGACAAAAAAAGAGGCGGTCTTTGTTCCTGAAACTTTCAGAATTTCTTTACACAGAGGGGACACATGTTTATGTATAAAAAACTCCTCACCTTGTCTATGAAATACAGTGCCACGGATCTCTGCCTGATCCTCATCTCTTTTGACTTCCAGTCGTCTCTGTACTGGGTGCGGAGGCGACCCACACACTTCTTCAACCGTCGAGCAGTCTCATATTTCTGCCAGTCCTTTTCCCCCTGCACACAGAACCAGTTTTTTGCAATATGGAAAAAATCAGACAGATCTTTTTTTTTCATCATCAAGGAATAACTGTGGAATTATCTACATGTAGGATTGAGTTTATTATGCTTTTAGTTTTGCAGCTGAAGGTGTGAGAGCACAGTTACCTTGATCCTGGAGCTGGGATTCAGCATGATGTACTTGATGGAGCTCTGGATGTTCTCCGTCCACGAAGCCAGCCAGGTCACCTTGTTGTCATGGCGAACCTCCTTCCATTTTGTCCCTGGGGGAGGTTTAGGGTGCTTTGAGTCCCTACAGAAAAAATGCAGGTTAACCTTAAAGAAGTTGACAACTTTTTTCTCATGTGTTATAATATTTACTTTCTCTGGATGAAGTGTCCACTGAGGTAGTGTCTCTACCTTTGTGTTGATTAAGGGGTTTTCATTTTCGGTACAATATACATAATTTATTACAGACCTGATACTTAACATTAGGTATTTGTTTAATTCATATCTGATTGACACTTGGTCGATATTTGGTTTGTACATAATAGCATTGGGGTTGTTGTTTCTAGGTTGTTTGTGTGATAAATGTTGAGTTAATTGCTATTCAGAAGGAGAAGGACGATATAAAGGTATACTTCTTTCTACTCTTTTTTGGACATACTTATTGAAGTTGTTTATTTATATTGTTTATGTGAAGTTGTATAATAAAAGTTATTTAAATTAGACTGTTCATTTTATTATTTGTGTTTACTTATTTATATAATGTTAAAAAACAAATAAGAATGACTATGCTTCCATAAAATACTTTGGCTTTTTTTATTTTGATAAGGCATTATATTGTAAGCACTTCAGCAATGAGACAATAGCTTACATATAACTGTTAAACAGTCCCCGCTGGGTCGTGTTATTGTTTGCACACAGCATACTCTGACAGGAAGATTAGCTTTGACACAGTGCCGGCATGTGTGCGAGTGTGTCTCATTGATGCTGAACATCTGACATACTAACTTAGCACACACACACACACACACACAGTCTAGGGGTTTCACCAACTAATCGACTAGTCGACTACCTTTACCACTAGTCGGCGCTGTAGGCCCTCGAGAAAAAAATTGAGGTAAACGAGGTGCTGCAAAATGCTCCAAAACACGTCCGACATTCTTATGTATGGCAGTACTTCAACGAAGATGTAACCAACTCCACAGTGAAGTGTCAGTTGTGTACAGCTGTACTGAAGTACAATACAAATGCATCTGCTATGCGCAACCATCTGAAAATGAGACACCCGCTGCCGACAGCTAGCACTAGCAGTAATGCTAGCACCAGTGAGCAACGGACCGGCGTCAGCACTGAACAGAGGCGAACGAACAGCAAGAAAACACGGGTCAACAGTGATGCGGATGATGAGCTACGGGATTACTGCCAGCGGACACCGCATATCCCCACAATGGATAATCCACTGGAGTGGTGGGCAGAAAACGTGCACCGCTTCCCCCGCTTTCGAGGAGCTACCTGGCTATTCCAGCCACAAGCCCCGCCGAGCTGAGAGGGTTTTTCCCTGGCGAAGACTGTCACCAGCGAAAGCGGTCAACTCCTTCCCTCACAATGAAAATGCGTTTGTTCAACCAAACCAAAAATATGCGAAAGTGGACCGTTATGGTGGAAGGACAAACGATATAAAGTTTGCGCACTGGACTATACGGTGGCATTTAAAACAAAGTTTGTGTTCTGTCGATTTCGGTGAGTCCAAATAAAAAATATACAAAAACAGCCATGTATAAAACATGTTTAATATTAATGATGAGTTCAATATAAAAAATACAACAAAAACACAAGATGTTCTTTATTAAAGTAAGAAAAAAACTAGTCGACTACTATTTAGAAAAACAACTAGTAATATTAGATAGAGTTGTGAACCCTAACACACACAAACAAAAACACAACACAACACACACAACCACCACACACCACACACACACACACACACACACACAACACCACACACACCACACACAACACACCACACACAACCACACACACACACACACACACACACACACACACACACACACACCTGAGACCTAATGACCAGACGTCAAAAGTAAATATCTCACTGTCTTAATCAAACAGCATCACAACATGGGCGATAAAAGATTGAACGGGAGATAAGGGAAAAGAAGTAAAAAGAATAGAAGCAGGTTGATAGAGTTGTTTAAGAGCAGGATAAAGATTGTATTACTTAGACAGAAATAATAACTTCAAAAATTAACTATACTTAAACAAAGCCCATATGTTGTTATAATCTCTCCAGGCTACCGCCCTCTACTGGACTCGGGTCTCCCCTCAATCCTATACATGCAAGCTTCCTCAACGAGACTTTAGACGTAGCCGCCACTGGGCGGGCCTACCTGAATGCGCGCAGCATTCTCAACCGCATAAAAGGAGGCCTCGCCTCCCATACTGACCATCCCTTTCCTTCAGCAAGGCGAGTGAACAAACGAATCAAGAGAACGGATTAAAGAAACTTTTGTCATATGAAAGAAAAATGGACTCACCTGTAGTAGCGCCTCCTGTCCTGTCGTTGTCCGGTCGCCCCATTGAAAGGGTGACGACGCCCACTGCCGGTGTATCGAGTGCCCAGGTCCCCCCACCGCTGCGGCGGCCAACCTGGCTCCGATTGCAGTCTGCGCGCCTTGCCTCCGACTGATTCCTCGGTCCGCGCACTGATCAAAAGGCTGGCGCTGTTTGAGGGTGGCCGAAACGTCTCGCCGGTGGCAGCCCAGAGCTCAGATGTGGTGAGATCGAGGACCTTCGAAAAGCAGGGGGATAGTCATGCTTCTTATCAGTACGCATCCCAGCGGAACCCAAGGAGCGGGGTCCGAGCATTTCGCGCGCGATGGCCATCAGGACAACGAGGAGCTGGCACTTGACTATAGATTCCAGCACAACTGAGGGATCTCGCCTATGGCAGGCAGGCAAGACGATAAGCAGACGCGTGTGCAGTCCCCCATGACCTGTATCACCACTCTCGCGAGGCCCACGTTGAGCACGCGTCCAGCTCATAAAAGCACGCACAATAACATTTCACCCCCCCCTAAAGCAAGACAGCTCGCGGTGTGAGATGGTAGGCAACGTGTCGCAGCCCACGCACTGAAGACACGACGGCTCCGGTGGCCCACCCCGTTCGACACGACATGTACGAGGTTGGCCACCCCACTGAGGAAAAAAGCTCTAGACGTGCCGTTCAAGCGCCCATAGCATGGACTTACGCGCGAGAGCTAGCCGGGTGGTCGAGGTAGACAGGCCCTGCCCCCGCTCGCACGTGACTCTCGCGAGTACTGCTATGAATATTCTCTGATACAATATACTTTCACGTTTTTGGCTTGCAGATCGACGCAGATGTCCCGCGCCGCCAATTTACAACATGCAAGTGTGTTCTTAAACGAAGTTCTTGAGCATGAGTGCATTCGGCGGTATCTTGGGAGAGCTGCACGCCCCGCAATCAATAGTAACTCTCAACCCTGTGGATCTATGTTTTGGCTCCTATTTCATCGTGCTGTGCTGCGGGGCAACGCTGAGGATCTGTGTGAGGAGGAGGGGGAGCTATGGGTTAGCGCTGGGCCCCCAGCCCCGGGGACGTGACGCACACATGGGCCCATATGGGCTGGAGGACTCTTTTCCCCTGCTTTAGGGCAGGAGGGGGGAGTCCTCCACGTTATAGCACACCTCCGCCGGGTAAGCGCGTCAGGGTGTGCTCTGTCAGCCGCAACCCCTTTTCTCTCCACGGTTACGACCGAGGAAGAGGTACGTGAGGCGCAGCGGCTGCTAACCAGAAAGCCGGTCAGAAACAGTGAGATGGAACAGTGTTGTTGTGGGACGACAGCGCGTGTATACATCGGGGCTCTGCCCACTGTACCCATAGAGTCCAGTAGAGCCTGTGAGAGATATAACGAGGGATTACGTATGGTAACCCTTGTTATATAAACACAGGCGGAGCTCTCTACAAAGGACAGCCCTGTCTGTCCTATGCTGCTTGGTGAAGAGAAGTAAAGGATGGCAGTAAGGAGGCGAGGCCTCCTTTTATGCGGTGAAAATGCGCGGCACATTCAGGTTAGGCCCGCCCAGGAGCCGGCTACATCTAGAAAGTCTCAGTGGATGAATGCTCGCATGATAGGATCGAGGGGAGTACCCATAGAGTCCAGTAGAGGGCTCCGTCTGTTTTTATATAACAAGGGTTACCATACGTAACCCCTCGTTATGTTCCTCCTGTGTATCTAAAAATGTAACTGAAGCCTAAACCCAATGTAAGTCCATAAGACCTGAATCCTAAGTAATGTATCTGACATCACCTGGTAAAACGATGTGAGAGGCTGGAACGGCTTGAAATGATTAGATACAAATGGGACAACACTTTGCTGGGCCATAACATCAGGTTAGTGACAAAACATGTTATGTGCAATTGTGGGTTTTTAATGTTTTTTATGCCTAATTCAAATGTCTTCCAGGCTCATGCCTTACATAGTGGACAATGAAGAATTGTCAAATTAATAATTTACTTGTTTAGTGTCAAAACATAATTCAGCCCAAGTTAATGTAATGGTTGATTAGATAGCCTATGATTTCCTGATTTCATGCATTTGTTATGTCCCATTTAAATCCTAAAGGTAATTCAGTGTTTCTGTGTGAAATTAATATGCCATTATATCCATTCTTTTTTTTTTTTAACCCTTCCGTGCTTACCCTGGTAACCCTGCTTTTAAAGTCAGAAAGCTATAAACTGTGGGTAATTCCCTGTGGAAAAAATGTGCGGACTTATGGTAGTGTATATAAAAGGCTCAAAATGTTTGCAGAGCTCACTCAAGCACGTAGCAGTGGCACCAGAAACGTTACATCAAAGTGCATCAAAGTGTAGGTAGTGCAGAAACGTTACATCCAAGTGCATCAAAGCCTGTGAGTCAGTGAGTGTGGGCTTTGGGATTTGGCTTAAAATGTAAAGTCCATGGCGGTGAATGTTGTGATAACAGTGTTGGTCAGATTACCCACTTGCTACAGTTAATAATTATGTCTTGAGGTCTGATGCGTAGTTTCAGCCTGCCCATTTTAGGATGATCGCCTCGTCCCCGGAACAGGCCTGGCGGCTCGATGCGGAAGTTTCCGATCTTCTCTTTGTGGTTGTCCATGATACAGAAACCATACTCCTGGAGGAGTCTCTCATTCTCCTCTTTGATTTTCTACAAAGTGTATGGCAACATTAATATACAACAAAAGATTGCAGAATGTGTTCAAGGTAAAAGGAATGAATCCAGGCATACCAGTTTCTCCTGTTTTGACATCTGTTTCCTTGCTTCGGATTGGGCCTTGAAGAACTCACTCATTTCACTGAATTTGCACTTGTTCAGGTCGGTTATCTTGGACTTCTCCTCAGATGTCATTTCCTTAAATGTAAAGAGTCATCTGAGGCATGTATAACATAAATACTTCAACTTTGTACCCTCTTTAGGGTCTTGCTCGGGACACTTTTATAGCAAAGCTTGAGTCTTATCTCCTCACCTTCCTCCAGTCCTTAAGAAAGTTCTTCCTGAAGATTTCCTTAGTGGTGTACTCATGATCCAACATCTTAGCAAAAAATGTAGCCACCTCCTCAGCAGGTGCATTAAGTTTCATAGGTTTTCCTACAAAAACAGAACAATCACATTGTGGTGTAAAATGAAAAAGAAACAAAAACATGACCCGTTTTTTTTTACCAAGATATACTCACCATCGTAGTAAAACTTGACTTTGTCAGGCATGGGTTCATACGGAGCTGCAAACACTGGACCCTTGTGCTCAAGGAAGCGCCACTTAGAACCATCAGTAGATCTTTCCTCCTCCCACCTAATCACCACCACCAACAACAAAGTGCGACTCATGAGGGAAAACACAAATATGGTAACTACTTGCTCTTTATAACTACCCTTGTGAGATTTCCTGAGAAAAATAACTATTTCTCCCTGACATTATCTTACCATTTCCACTTCTCCTCTTCTTCTTTCTTGGCTTTCTTTCCCTCGGTTACCTTTTTATCTTTTGTGTTCTTTTTGGGCTTTATGTCCTAGATCAAGTGCAGAAAACAGAATAACTCTGGAGAACAAGAACGGCAGATACACATGAGAATATATTCATTAAAGATAGTAATGAAAAATGTAATGAACCTCTTCTTCCTCCTCCTCCTCTTCTTCATACTCATGTTTCCTCTTCTTGGCCTTTTTGTCATGTTCTGTCTTGACTTTTTTGGGCTTGTATTCAAATCTGTGAACAGATGTATTGATAATCTTACTATGTCTTACATTTCAATAAGAAAGTGACAGATTATAATTGAATTTGTATGAAACCCACTCTTCCTCATCATGCTCTCGCTTGGAGGTCTTGTTGTGTTGGGGAGAAGGGTAGAAGCCATTGTCCTCTTCGGGCTCACTCTTAATGGCAGCAGGGCTTGTATCTCTTAAAGTCACACATTGAAATGCAATTTAGTAAAGTAATATTGTATTAATCATAACCAACTAATTTAATTGTACATCAGTCAGAGAAAGCGCAATGCATTTTTACCTCACATATCCATTTTCTTTCTCCTTTTTAGGCTTGTCTACATGGGATGATTTAATCTGTAAGAAACAGAGAAAGATAAATTAGCAAATGTAATTTAAACAAACTTTCAAACCTTTAAACAATGTTCAGACTCTCTTCACTGTTGCTATTTGTAAAAAGTTGCTGGAATGTTACAGAGGCCATTGGTGTTGACCTTTTTAATGATCATGGAAAAAAAAAATCGTTAACCTAATTTAACAAAATAATGACAAGTAATGAGAGAAAAACATATTTAGACTTAAGATCCCTACAGCATTTTATAAGCGGCAGACTGACAACAAACCTTCTCTTCTCTCCTCTTCTCTTTCTCCTTGTCTTTCTCTTTGTGTTTTTCCCTGTGCTTGTCTGAGCTGCCGTTGCTGTGCTTCAGCTTCTCCTTGTCTTTGTGTTTCTTTTCAGAGTGGTCCTTATGTTCGCTAGAGAAAGAAGCCACCAAAGGTCAGAGATCAAGTGCAAGAGGTCAGACGTGGTCCAGATGCGCAGACACAAAAGTTACTAAGTCGCTAACTACCAGTATTAAAGGCCCAGTGAAGTGCATTTTTTTGCACCAAAATGAAATGGCAGTTTCATTCCTTACATATCATTGTGCCTGTTCATGGCTAAAATAATTTTTAATTATTTATTTATTTATTCATTATTAATGTTAATAATAACGGCCGTCTGAGCCTACCGGAAGTTCCAGACGATAGCGGCCGTGACGTCACAAGATGGGCCCAGTTCTGATTCTAAACATGGCGGAGACTTTGGAAAGTGATACATGTGCGAGAGAAATGATTGATTTTGACAGCTTTTCGGACAGGATAGATGAGGAAAGCGGCACAGAAGATGGAAGTGACGATGAGGAAGCGCAGGACATCATTGAACCCTACAGATTTGAGCCGTCAGGGACGTCAAGTGGGGAGGATGATGGCGACGACATGGACGATGGGGAAGACATTGACCGGCTACAGAACACTGAATGGTTAGCAGGCTAGCAGTGGCTGTGCTGTCACTGTCGATTTGAAAATAGGGGGGGGGGGGGGGGATTTGCCTTGTTTAAAATCGCTGCTTGGGCTCATCAGCCTCTGGGAAATAATTAGCTTGTGTACATGTCATGTGCTAGAGTATTATTAAAGTAGAATTATAACTTTCTGGTCATTGAATTAAAACATACGCCAGGGTGACCAGCCCTGTTTTTCTGCTTATCTGCAGTTTATGGGAATAATTCCACCTATCAGATAATCAGGGGGCGAGAACAAGAAATTATTTTCATGCGCACAGTCTAACTTTATTGGATCTTCTGCATAAAATTCAACAATATACAGTTCCAAGTTAAAATGATAAAATCCAGTTACCTTGCAAAATGTCGCAACCTGACAGTGCCAAGTTAAAAATGGTTAAAGGCGGAATCCAGTTACCTTGCAAAATGTCGCCAACCTGACAACAACTGAAACATCCTGGCATTCCTTGCTAAATGCATAATGTTACATCTGTTTTATATGTTTTAGGTGTCAGTGTGCGACAACTGTAACAACATGGACACTGTAGCCGAGATGTCTGCTGTCGGGAAATCCCCGCTGTCACCAGGACCATGGAGGAGGATGGTGTCCACAGCTGCATAATGCACCACCCGGCTTCTCGATCTGGCCTGGTCTAGACATCTGTGGCGTGCTGCGTATAGCATTACTGTGGATACAGGCAACATTATGGCCATCTCCAGCAAGAGGGCAATGAGTAAGCCTTACAAACACTACTTTACAATAAAAGTCTATTACTAGGTATATAAATGTATCAGTTAATCATGATGTATTGACAACTTTTGCAACTTCTATACGTTTGAATATTAGTGTTGTGTATGATCTGAGTATAACCTATATGAAATGTAACTTTGAAGTTGACCTATTATCATCTATGTGGTCCCCTTCATTTGTGTCAGTCTCTTGACAGTAGCTGTCGTTCATATCAATCACTATAATGTTTTATCTTGCCAGACGCCACCCGATACACAGCCTACCGCCAGCTGGTGGAGACTTTGCTTGGCGTTACCTAGGCTGTGTGTACGCGACATAATAGAGTGTGCCACTGGCCCGTATCTTGTGCAGTGAACCCAAATTTCCGTCGTTGACTGTCAGTTTCCATCCATGGAGCTATCACGGTTATGAAGATAGGACAGTGACACATACTGTCGCTCGATGTGTGTGTTTTATGTTGTTGTAGATGTGTCGGTACAGTTCGCACAAGGTTGTGCTGATAGTGTGCATGTGATCGCTATGTGTGTGTCTGTTGATAGTGTGTAGCGGACATGGATGTGTCGACTTGGATGGCCTTGTGTCGTTTTCGATGGCTCGCTCGTGATGGCCGAGAGGACAGAGTGGGAGGCTCCTCCAGCTGTATCATGTGTGTGTGCTGCTCGCGCTCGCTGGTGTGGTCGTTGTGTGGCAGGTGTTGTGACACGTCTCTCGAATGTATATACAGATGGAGAGGTGTGGTTCGGATCATCACATAGTACGTGTGTGCTGCTCAATACTAGATACCTGCCTTGTATGAAACTGCTTTCTAGCTCTTCTGAACTAAATGGTTGTCCTTGTCATCAGAATCGTCGCCCGCATCGATCATTCTTTCAATGGGGTTCTTGAATGTCTGTCTGTGTGACGTGATCGGAAATCATTTGAAGTCGGCACGGCATACCAATCTGGACGAATATATATGATTGAAAGTATCAGCAGTCATCTCAAACTGGAGATAGAGCCGAACTGTCAACGCTGCGGCCTGGGTAGTGTCGTTCTTCACCACATGACCAAGCCTTGTACTTGGTTGTGTGTGTCTGTGCTGTAGCCGCGTGTGTGTGCCTGCTGTGTCGCTCGCTTCGTAGTTGCCAGCTATGTCTTGATGGCCATTCTCGTCTGTAATGCCAGTCCGGCAAGAAGGGTTCTGTTAACATATAAACAAAGAAACAGTTTTAGATAAGTGGTGATGTGATGTGATATACTCTCTTTTGTAATTTATTCCACGTCTAAACCATGAACAGCTCTATTGTGATCTTTGATATTGATTCAGAAAGGTGATTTTTGTGTTTTATTTTAGTCCTGGCAATGTGTGTCTTGGAGTTGACAACTTCATCACAGGTTCCTTCCTCCATTTTGAAACCACTATGGGGACGACTGTGATGTAACGCCCATTCCCAAGTAACTGAAACAACTCTTTAGCTGGTAGCAGTACCAAGCCTGTTCGAATTATATATGCTGAAAAGACCAACCTGCACAGCATGGCCATGTGTAGGAGTACACGTAAGAACTTTGGTGCAAACTGAATGATCGAGGCTGTGAAAGCCTCCACCTTTGGACGTCTGGTGGTACGGCAGAGAGCTTGCCGATGTCCATGCACAGCATCTTGTCTGTCACCAGTTTCTCCAGTTTGGACAGGCTGATATGTGAACCTGCAATCAACAGATCAATAAATTCAAATCATCAACAAACTTTCGAATGGCAGGTGCTTGACATTATGGATTATCAATTCTAATGTTGTTGGCTCAGACGTAACTTTTGGATTATGTACCCAACCATAAAGACAAGTCAGTACCATTGTTTGCTGTCTGGGTATGTCCTGGTTTTTTAATCCCTCAGTATGCAGCACTGTATACCAGTCCATACTCCTTTTGGCATGTGGATGACGGTTAAAAATTACAGTCACCCGGGTTTGCTGACGCAACAGACGTAATTTTAAATGTCACGTCTGCCGCCATGTCAGAAAAAGAGTATTGACCTAAACTCAACTTGGGTTTGATCCACTTCTTCTTGTGAGCCCTGCCTTGTAGTCTCTTGTGCGACATGTGGGAACTTTCCACCATGGCCCCTGTGGAGGTTTAGAATATGCCGCTCCACCGACTTCCATTTGATCCACAAATCGTTCTGCGTCGTCTTGGCGTGGAGGAAAAACCACTGCCCAGTACAAGTGGTTGATGATGCTCTGTTGGCCATGCTTTTAGGTCCTCACAGCCCTTGAGCTTGCAGATGGCTTCAGCTTCTTCCCAACAGCTGCAAAAGACAATAAATAAAAACTGACATCATAAAGGATTCTATTTATTTGAGTGGAGGTGTGGCAAATAAGATTTGTTACACTGCATGTTGCAATGTCTGTCTGGGTGATAAAAAACTTTACGATAAACTCAATAGAAGACTCTACTCCCTTGAACTTCAATAGAAACTACATTGACACATACACTTGCTACCATGCCAGATGTCATACAGATGTTTTGGTGTACGGCATATTCTCTCTAATCCCATTTGGCAAATCTGGCGGATGTCGGTCTGTGACGGGAGTCCAATCCTCCAGGATGTCCTAAAAAGAATGCCACCATCCTCTTCTCTCTTTCGCAATGGTGTGTGTGTGTGTGTGTGTGGTGTTGAAAATTAGAGAGTGTGTGCATATACAACCTCCGACACTCGGAGCGCAGATAGATGTGGTAGTGTAGACTGCATGTGTGGTGGCATGTGTGTGATGTGTGTGTGTGTGTTTGCTGTGTGGTGCGTGTGTGTGTGTGCGCGCGCGCTCTCGCGCGCTCTCCGGCGCTCGCGTGAGTTAGTGAGACGTGAACGTAAGAGCTAGGAGCTCTGCAATGAGACTGAATATGATTTGAAACACATGTTACTATTACAATATTTACATATGAAGATTACATTTCTCAAACAAAACCCTGAACTTGAACATATTAAAACTGTACCTGCACCAGCCTGTTAGGTGCTTAGCACCCACATTTGATTCCAGCTCCATTGTAGTGTATTGTTCCAAATTTTTGCGGCCAGTGTCCAGGGGCTGTCGGCCCTGCCGTCAGCCCCCTCAGAACCAGAGGTCGCCCTTCAGTCTGCAGCATCGCAATGTGGGCTGCCTGTTGTTGCGTCCATATAACCCTGTAGTGAGCAGGGTGTATGCAGTGATGGTTGATCGCTGGTGGGTAGAAGATGAGTTAGTTGTGCGATGTGAGTGTAGTGAGGTGCATCACACACGTCCATGTGGGGTAGGACTCACGACACCTTGTCGAGTTGGCGAGACGCACTGGCAAAAACGAGGTATATGGAGACGCGGATGCAGTGAGTAGCATCGTCATGTGTTCGTGCTAGATAGATGAGAGGATGTTATGTCACAATGCTCGGTTGACTCTGCCACTAGTTGCCTGCAGACAGGAGACACATAGTTGTGTTGGTGGACACAAGTAGTGTTCCACTGGTTGTCCAACACGTGACGGATGTCGACTGCTGGCCGCAATATGGACAGTGGCACCACTGTAGCAGTTCCCGAGGCATGGAGCCAAAAGACAGATGTATTTGGGTTCCTTGTGGGCAGATCCTTTCTTCTGTTTCTAATCCCCAAATGCTTTCCCGGACTTCTGAGCAGATCTGACTTGTCAGGAAGAATCATGCCCTGAGATGGGCTACTGGGTTCCCAGTCTCGAGGAGCCTGATACTGTTTGTTGGTGCAGCTGACTGCTGGGGCAGCTGTGGGGCTGTCAGGTGTAGGCTGAGAAGAGTATGTGGTGGTGCTGATGGATCGTTCAGTTTCTCTGCCTCCCTGGTACCTGGGTAGACTTGCAGTCAGCCATCTCGGGCTACACCTGGCATGCTGTGAAATGAAATGACAATGGAATACTATATGTGTGTGATTGTGTTAGTATGAATAAGCCACAAATCGGTATGCTATCTTGTTGCCTTACTATTTAGAGTTAACAAAACTCAACATTAGAAGGATAGTCCCGTTACGTGTTGTGAAGTGATAAACGACAGTATATATATGACACACTCGCTCATCATGTTTGTATTATATGTAGGTAGATGCTGATTAAACTTCGGATTTAATATAGCTACCTATTAACCAATCAATTTAGTGGCATTACCCTTTGGACTGTGTCTTTTTTTTTTGTTCCCAGTCTGGTCTTGATTGCTGACAGTTTCCGCAGTGCTGTGTTCGGGCAGGTGTCGCTGTAGTGTTGATGTTCTGGCTGTGGCCCTGTCCGAGGTGATGAAAACATAAATTTCATCAGTGTGATGTTGTAAAGATTTTCGAGGTTAGAATTCTAGACAATATTATCATGATAA